CCCCACCCTTCTGTACCCAGCTCTGCCCACCCTGCCCCACCCTTCTGTGCCCACCTCCGCCTAACCTTTCCTGCCCTCTCCCACCCTTCTGTGCCCAGCTCTGCCCACCCTATCCTGCCCTGCCCCAGTGCCTTTATCCTGGCCACCAGGACTACCTACATTTATAAAGGCCTGATGGATTTGTGTGTGTGTGATTCACATGAACCTAGTGGTTAAAAGGACCTGCACTTCTGTGGAAGGCTGATGTATGGCAGATCAATGTATTGTCAGAATTCAAGGTCTTGATGACATGAAACCCCCAAGACTAAGAGCAGCCCAGATTCACGAAGTGGAGGACAAGCTGGGGGTTGAAAAAAAGCACTCTGCACACCTTAGCTTTAATGTGGGGGAGTAGGCTGTGGAGCAGCAGCAGAAATTGGTTGTTATAAACCTAAAACCGTGAGACAGTGAGGCAGAAACAGGTGGGAGCATGTCAGCACATGGAGAGAACATCCATCTGCTGCTTCAGACATATACTGAACAAATGCAGACCGACACTGTGAAACGAAGGACTGACACCCGATCGATCAATCACATGAGTTTAGCCCAGCTGCCTGATCTTCTCTGCAGCTTCAGATCTACTGTTCCCTCGGGTGCATCTTGGGACACCAAATGTCAGGTTCCAGCCAGTACTGTCACCCCAGAGCTAGCCAGTTTCTTTTTGTTCCATTGAATGTTTCCAGAAGGCTTTTCTGTATGTTTGGCATTTCTGAGTTTTGCTTTTTGATGAAAGGATTTCTTACGCTTTGTGCTTTTGCTTAACCAATTTCTTAATAAAGGTATTACAGTCTTGCACTGTGGTTTGCCGATATTCTGTTGCCTGTACAGCTGCCCTGAACGAAAACCATTGTTTGTAAAGCGCCTGACCAGCCAGGGAAATTAAGAAAAAATAATTAGCACCTACTGTATGTCCTTTGTCTACCGGGGTGCTTTATTCATTTAAACCAAGCTGATATGGGAGTTACTATTAAAGCCCATATTAACAAAGTGACACAGAGTGCCCAGGGCGTTTGCTCTGGTGATGTGGACAATCGTGCAGTGGAGTAGAACTCTCCAGCACCTGCCCACACTTCTGCACATTGTTGCAGGCTACTCCAGTCACACGCCCTTTCTCACAGAGGCTCCTAGGGGGGCTGGATACAGGAAACTGCAGCTGCGGTGTCCGGCAGGTCAGAGAACCCGAAGCTGCAGGCGGGGCTAGGTGGATCCCCATACAACAAGCCCGGACTTCCTGCTCATCTGCTCAGAGTGGAAAATGAGGGGAGTTGGGTCTGAGATCAAGTCCAATCACACATTCTCATCACATCACATTTCGGGTGTCCAGTCACACGCCCCATTCCCGGGTGGCATGGTGGCGCAGTGGCTTCATTCTGGACCAGGGGTGCTGTCTGTGTGGAGCCTGCATGTTCTCCCCGTGTTTGCATGGGTTTCCTCCAGGTGCTCCGGTGTCCTCCCACAGTCCACAGCCAAGCTGGTGGGTTCAGATAGATAGATACTTTATTGATCCCGTGAGGGAAATTGCAGTGCAACAGCAGCTTAACACACACAACACAGCCACAGTGTAACGAATTATATAATAATAGTACAATACATACAATACAATACAATACAATACAAGAGTTACTCACAGTCCAGACACACAAAGAACAAACTAGAACAGAACAGTACTCAGAAAAATCGTTTCACACATATGAATATAAATTCATGAGGTTCTGGGAGAATTGGCCCTAGGGTGAGTGTGTGTGACCTGCAGTGGACTGGCTTCCCATCCAGGGCGTGCCCTGCCTCGTGCCTGTGACTTGCTGGGATGGGCTCCAGCTCCCCCAAGACCCGGAGTTGGAAGAAGTGGTTAGAAAATAGATTCCAATAACAGTCTTAGATGCTTCCTTAACTTTTACAAGCATTAATCCCTTTTTGGTACTGTCGTGAAAAACAAACTCACTCTCAAAAGCTATTTGGAAGGACCAGGTCCAACCAGACTGACCTATGCTGTTCGGGGAAAGATGTTCACTGCTTTGCTTGCTGCATGACAGATATGTATCAGCAGAGAAACCAATAAAGACAGATGTAAATATTCCCACAGCGAGCGATCCTGGGGCCAATATAATTTATCCCCACATGGAATTTTTTAATTAATTTATGAAACTCTTGTTTGAGAAAGTGCATTTAAAACTGAGAAAAGGCGGCACTCCTTCATCTGCTCGCACAAAGAGTGGTAGGAGTGTGAAACAACCTGTCTAGCCATGTTGTTGAAGCTGATACACTGGGTTCTTTCAAGAAGCACCTGGATGAGATACTGGGATCAACCAGCAACTAGCTTAATAAGCTAGCTGGACCAACAGGCCTCATTTCAAATGCAAATTCCCTTATGTTCCTGTAGAAAATATGGAGGGCTTATTTTATATTTTATATAACACAGTAAATAAAAATACTGTCCTCCCACCCTGAGCTCTGGCTCTGCCACTGTGTGAAGTCAGCAACACTTCCGGTGCTGTCCTGCAACAAGTGAAGAGCCAGGAAATCCCTGCTTCTGATTTTCTGCTTAGCAGTTATCTGCACATCTCCCAGTTAACACCAGGTGGGTTATACTACTGTGTCTGCTGAAATATTTGTGCAAGGGGAAGACACAATTTTGCAGTTGAAACAGCATTTTACTTTTCCTTAAGTGTCTGTGAACTGCCAGTCATTTTTCCAGAGACAGTTCAATAGAAATGATGTGACAGGTCAGCAACGTGACAGCAGTACTACTACACAGAACATCGCAGCTCGGTGATCAGTAGCAGGTAATAATTAATAATAATTAATAATAATAATTTCTTACACTTATATAGCGCTTTTCTGGACACTCCACTCAAAGCGCTTTACAGGTAATGGGGACTCCCCTCCACCACCACCAATGTGCAGCATCCATGCTCTGTGGGAGCTCTGATACTCTGTATACTAATATTGCATTGTGCAAAAACAGTAAAGTCCAAACCAGAGCGGTTCTGCAGTGTTAGTGGACTGAGATCATGTCCACTTAACCACCTGGACAGGACAGTCAGTCCATTTCAGTAATAGCCCCCCCAGCAGTGCTGGTCTCCACTTATAGCAGCTGGGGTAAAGTACCTGAGTGCTGCACTGTCTGCACTGCAGCAGGGACTCAAACTACTACACTGTCAGCTACAATCTGGTCACCCCCCCCCCCCACACACACACACCCGCTCTGTGCTGCATGGGACGCCATGATGTTCAGGTTGTGTGTCGGGCAGTCGTTCCCCGCACAGCGCTCGACCAGCGGGCGCTCCCTGCTGGCGGCTGAGGAACACTAACGCCGGTCCTGTTGGCCTCTGTCTGGCACAAGAAGACCCACCGGACTGATCCGGAGCCCCACTTCCCCGCCAGGGCGCCAGGCCCCCGGAGGAGGTGCAGGTGACCGTGCCGAGCCCGTTTCCCATCCTGGAAAGACACAGATGTGTCCCGCTGGACACGGACCTTTTAAGAAGTTAATTCCATATCAGCACGCTTTATACGTACTACACTGCCCACGGTGGCGTGAATTTGACACGAATGGGCGTGTTTTCTTGGTTAGGTTTGGTACAGTCTGGGCGTTTTCCAGACATGACCGTTACACAGGCTGAGAGATATCAATCTATATTTAGTACCTGCGGACAACTACACAGCAGCAACGCGCTGGTCTGTTTGGCTGTTAACAAGAGTTCAGCACCGATGCATCTCGTTTAACGCCAGTGACTTTCAGACCACAAAACCAGCGACGAGAGCCGCCCGCCCGCTCGCCCGCGTTGGCCGCTTTTATTTTGAAGACGTCCCCTGTACAGCTCAGCCCCGGGGAGCGAAACTGTGTTGCGAGTGTGGCGAGGGGTGAGGCTGTGTGCCAGGAGAGAAACACGCCAGCGCGTCAGCCGCCGGTGCCTCTCTGGCGGTTTGGCAGGGCGACACCGCCGGACACCTACCACCTCGGCAGGGGGCGAAAAGATGTCCGGGCCCGGCTCGTCTTTCCCGGCACGGCTCGCTTCCGTCCTGGAGACCCTGCTGCGAGCAGCGCTGTGCGAAATCACGCAGCTGGTGGAGGACGAGCTGTCCCAGGCCAGGAGGGAGAACGACACGCTGAGGAAGAGGCTGCAGGTGTCGGCGGGCGAGCCGGCAGCACGGCGGGATCACGGCACCGACACCCGGGGAGGAAGAGCCGGTAACTGACGAGGCGTTGTATAGCCTCTCTCTCTCTGCCCGAGGCTGCATTTTCATTAGCTGTCAGTAACTTTTATTTTATGTAGCAATTGGCTCCTCAAAGCGCTTTACAGGAAGAAAAAACACACGACGAGAGGAGACGGCAGGATTACATTTATTACGCTGAGGGTTTGGGGTACAGTGGGAAAGCAAAGGGGCAGATACATACGCCAGGGTAAAAAAACTGGAATAATTCCGCGTTAGAACAGGCTTTCATCCCGGTCCTGTGTCCTGCTTGAGCTCTGCCTCTCCAATATAATAACTGATGCTTTTGACTGACCTGCTTGTTTGTTCAAACGTCTGTCGGACTTGCGTGTGCAC